GCCGATTGTTTCCTACCGCGGCAGTCGGATAAATTCATTTGTCCGTCAGGACAACGCAATATTTTAAAAAAGTGACGTAGACAGTCTGGTTGAGCTTTCCGCATTAATGGAGCCTTTACAAGTCTTGTGTGAAATGAAATTTAACTTAAAACAAAATTTTTTTTCTCTACAATTATTTTGACATAAAATTGACGTTTTTGTCTCCCGCTGCTGCGATTACATAATGTTTTTCAAATTACTTCAACTATGATGTTACTATAAATTTAATATATATTTAAAAGATTGCGATTTAAAGGTAAAATAATTGAAAAATATTTTCCAGTTTTTTTTTAAAATACCAGAATAATTTTGAAAAGAGAATCGCCGACCTTCAATGAAAAGTTTCTTTTCTATTTATCTGCAAAAAAATACGCCGGAAAGTGTCGCGAGAATGGAGGGGTCAACAACCCCAAATCAATTATTCAATTTAATCACATACATCCGTTTATCCGTCTGGCTGTCTGTTGTTAGAAGAACGAACCCCAGGGTACTTAGTCTATCACATTGTGTTCCACGCAATAATTAAAAAAAAAATGAAAACAATTTGGAAAAAGGTGAATATTGTGAACTAATATATCTCGGGCGAGTCATTTTGCATCACGATTTTTACGTTGTCCGAAAATATAATTTACCTACATAACATTACATAATTAAAATACATTTGTTTACGAAATTCTAGGTCAATTAGGAAAGTTCTCGAACAAAACGTAGCTAGTATGTACCCTACACTACTTCGCCTAATATAATTCTTTATTTACTTCGATAAAAGTATTCGAAAAATTTTACTTTCTTTCCATGTAAAAACCCGCTTTTCAAAATAGCCCTTATGTAGAAAAGGTTTGAGAACGGACTGATATGCATTTTTGTCTTGAATAATAAAAAGAAGATTTTCTTGCCATATGAGGCGCACAAAATAAATTTACTTAGCACGAAATTTTTTCAAAATTAACTTCCAAAATTAACTATTATTGACCAGTTTTTAGCACAATATATTAAAAAGAATTAAAAAATAAAAAAATTCATAGGAATTATTATGGGAGACGGAGTACAAAAACTAGACATGTATAATCCAAATTAGATACAATTGATTTTTGAACGACTATTATGGACAAATTCTTGCTGCAAAATAATAAGAGTTTCACCGTTTTGCGCTATAAATTTATTTCTCGTAGAAACGTTGTTGTAAAAGCGGTCTCAAAATACTAGGCTTTCCCATCTAAATTTCTCACATCAACTGCGTGTAGCGAAATAGAATTAAGCAACTGCCTTGTCGAGAAATTCTAGAAACTGCAAGTTATTTTCATGCATGTGTAACTGAGTAGCCAGAAATCGCGACCACAAAATCTGTGTTCGCGCATTGTGGTTGAGTTTATTTTGATCACAGATATAGTGGGTGTTCAGTAGATTTCTGCCACCACCTCCCTATTTTTTTGTTTCTTTCTCTTTCCGTATTTATTTCTGGTCATTCAAATGGAAGAAATCCCTTGAATGTTAGGTCATATTTCTGAAGCGACTTATTGAAAGGTGAAAAATTCCGATATTTTACGAGTTATGAAATCACAAAATTCAAATTTAATAAAATGACGACCACTTGAAATAATAAGAACCTGGATTTAATTAACTTCAATCTGCTGAAATCTTGCGAAAAGTCGTCCATCTAAATTATTTTGGTTTTCTTACTGATCCAGATTGGATACAAAAACGAATATAACTCTCATTTCTTTTTAATTGAGCTGTATGTTAGCGCTTTTCATATCCTACACCTCTTGTGGTGCAAGGGTATATCAAGTTTGTGGGGATGTAAGCAAAACCCAGAAAGACTTAACTTTTATTTAGAATCACTTTGTGAATCGATCTAAGCTTGTCTGTCGGTCTGTCTGTCTTATTTTATAGTGCTCAGCCTTCAGGGCGAGAATTTTCAGATGCTATATCAACGTGTATTGACCGCAGGACGAATACTACTGAAAACTGATTGGCCCAGTTATTCGACCATAATCCAAATACCGCCTTAATTTGAAAAGTTGTTATATGAGTAACTGGTATAAGCGGAAAGGTATAGGGTATTTAAGAGTGGGCCATGACCCACTTTATTGTTTTTACTTACTTTCTGTTCACAATCGAAAAAAGAAAAAAAACGAGAAAAAGAGTCTCTTCTGATTGTATTTAATAATCAATATTATTGTCTTTGTCAATGTCACTCCTATCACTATAAAATTGTAAAACAATTAAGATTTGTTATTTAATGAACCGCAAATGTTCAAGTACTTTTTTTGTTAGTATATATAGTAAAAACCACAATTCATACGGAAATGATTTAAAAACATTGTATGAGAAGAAAAGTTTTCATATACGCATTATATGCAAGCACCCAGACAATGTAAACAATTTAGATAGAGATGTGAAATGAGATAAAATAAAATATGCACTTAACTTAAACATAGATATAAAGATATCCTTAGATCTGCATATATACAACAGCAGCACATATATGTGACATATACTTGAGTGTACGACTTCAAACCTCTAACACAGACTGTCAGCAATTACTGAGAAATCTTCTATTTAGTCAAGTAAATGTATGGTAAGCACTTGTGTGTGCGTGTGTTAAAATCATATTGTATGCGCGTGTGTGTGAGTTTTTGTTTTTTTGCTTCATGTGGGTACAGTAGGAAAAGTTGTATTTAGGAAAAAGTTTAGCTTCATTTGTTTATTTATAAGCTGCAACGACAGCAATAATAATAATAATGACAACAACAATAATGCAAATGATGAGGATGATGATGTTGCTAATGTTAAAAGTATCTGTACATATAAGTTATTACAAAGCAAAGTAATTTCTTCTATCCAACTGCACACACACACGCTGACACTTTCTACATACATATATAGATATGAAAATTCTCACATTTAAAGTAAAAAATGCAGAAATAATCATATCATTTCCTAAGTATATATTACGGTTTGTTTATGTATGCATCTAACATATAAATATATATGTCCATGATACGTGGGTGTAAAGAATGTGTTGTTTTGTGCGTGATGGTTTTATTTTGATTGCTTTGTTACCCTTCTTCATAAAAAGCAACGTGCTAAAGTGTTTTACACATTCATATATACCTATATATATATATATATATATATATATATAGAAAGCGATTTGCTTGTGCTGTTCTTAGTCTTACTATCACCGTTAAACTGAGTACAATTTTAGAGTAAAACAATGTTTCTCTTTCCTTTGTCTACTATTCATTCATACATTTTACTCACAATTGCATCTCAATCAACACGCTGAGTTTTGCGATATATTTTTTGTTCCTGGTGCGGGCCGTTGTTATGTTGCTATTGCTATTTAAATTGCATACAAATTGCAGCACGTAACAACAGTTGACAGTAAATGCTGTCTCGAGAAATGAACAAAACTTGTGCTGAAGTACACCTCCGGAGTTGAACAAATACTATGCAATGTGAATAAGCAGAACAACACGTCAAAGCAAAGTAAGCATAATAAACTTTTTATATATAAATTTTTACGTTTGTATGCAGTTGAAATGCTTTTTAAGAAGGGTGGCTTCTTAACATATATACATATGCAGATACATATATACATATGTAGATATATATATATATATATATATATGTATAAAATATTTGCTTGCATATGTTTGCGTGCCTGTGCGAGTTTATATTCCTCCTGTGGTTGCCTACTGTTTACCTAACCGTTTTAATTCAAAACGAATTGCAAAGTCTGCACATTTTAACT